TTTAAGTGGGAGAACTTGCACAATTGGTGCCTGACTAAATACTTTTTTGCCCCACTGTATATAGGCCCTAAGAAATGTAATTTTCTGAATCATTTTATGGTTTAGAATCTTCACAGAAGAGCAGAATATTCTCACCTTGCTGGCGTAATCCTTCAGAGTGGTACCAGTATCTAAATCAAAAGCATCATCTTTCTTCCCTACTGCCAATTCCTCCAGCCCCACATCTGCTTGCACTGCCAGGATGGTGCCACCCACTGTCGTGGAAACAGGATGGTGTATGAAAGCTGTGGATCCATCTTCCAGCTGGATGGCTTCCAAGGTGTTGGGGTCAAAACCCTCTGAAGTGGACCACAAACACTGTAGTACCACATGTCAACTCTAATTCTTACGTATCTATCCCTTGATCATTTAGAGCTAATAAAAGGTGAACAGTTAAGGCCATCAATAGCAAAATCTATATACTTTAGAATTCAATTGTTACATATCAACAGATCTTCAAAAGTGGATGGAATCAAAAGACCTTGTTGGTTTGATGCAGCAGACTAATGTGGCTGTCTCTCTGGAACTGTTCTACCCATTCTTGATTTGGGTGAGGAGCAACTGAAGAATGATATTAGTTTATTTTCAATATATGGGTAGTTTTATTATTTATGGCTGTAAAGAATGGGTTGGAAAAAAATGACATAGCCATATTCCCAATGTTCCAAACTACAGAACAGAAAGAGTAAAGGTGCTTCCTCCCATCTCTGAACTTCCTGGTTAATTCAAACCACAGTTTACCAATACCTTACCCACCAAATTGTGATTTTCAGTGATCCCATTAACCAAAAAAGGATTCTCAGAGAGAGAAGGAGGGAGTGCAATACAAGATAAAACATCTTACTATTGCTATAGGCTGCCTAGAAGATCTATGTAAAAATTTTTTAAAATATTTTATCTAGGGGTGGTACTTTTTTAAAGAAAAAGCAACACGCAATGACAACTATAATCCTATTGCTTAGAGGGCTTTTTATGGATTATTTACTGAAAGCAAGAGTCAAAGACTGAGAGCTACCTTTGGGAGTGTGATGTATAAAAGCCATGGTGCCACCTTCCAGTGCAACAGGCTGACCATCTTCAAATGTAATCGATTCTATAGAATGAATCAGATATACACAGGTACACACATAACTTCAAATAAAGTCAACTTGGCCAGCTTTTCATGCTGCAGAACACAAGTAAAGCTTAGCATGAACAACAGTCCCCATCACTGCTCACTTCTTTTGTTTTGAAGAATAGTCACTTAGCAAATTCAGCCATAGGTATATTAAAATTTTTTTTTTAATAATAATATGAATGCAAAAGTGCAACACAGAGCCATTGTATGAATTAAATGAATTGTTAAAAGTGATATTCTTCAATGTTTTTCTGACTGTAAAAGTTTTTAGATGTAGTAAACTAAAGCACCAGCATGTGCAATGCACTGTTTTAGTGTTTCTACATACAAAGAGGGTAAAAAAATACACTGAAAAAATATACCACTTTGTAATCAGAAGACACTTTTCTAGGTGGTTTACATACTAGAGAGTACTCTGTCCCCAAGATATTCACCTGGCAATTGCAAGTGGACTACTTTGCAATTCCTATACTATACAGGTAGTCCTCATTTAATGACCACTCGTTCAGTGACCAATCAAAGTTACAACAGTGCTGAACAAGTGGTACTTATGACCAGTCCTCAAAGTTGTGGCTGTCCCAGCATCCCCACAGTCATATGATCGCAATCTGGGTGCTCAGCAACCAGCGCACACTTACGTTACCACATGCTGCGGGCACGTGATCACCATTTGCAACCATCCCTGTCAGCTTCCCACAAGCAAAGTCAATGGGAAGCTGGCAAGAAAGGTTGCAAGTTGCTCTGGTAAGTCAGTCGCACCCTCCCTCACCCAGCAGCAGCCACCCCTGGCCCCGCCATGCTTGCCCTACATGGGCCACTCATGCACCCTCCCCTGCCTGGCACCAGCCACCTCCGGCCCCACCATGCTCACACCATGCCTTACCTGCCTGCCGCCTGCTTGCAAGCCACCTGGGACTCGCTTAATAACCCACAATCCTTGCTTAAGGATGGCAACGGGAAGTGCCAGGATTGCTGTTGGTAAGCGATGCAGTCATGTGATGTCACACTTTACAACTGCTTAGCGATGGAAAATTCCGTCCCAAATACCATCGTTAATCGTGGATTACCTGTACGCCTCTACAGCTGTTTGATGCCAATTTTGAGATACACATAAAGCATCTATGGCAAACAGCATGCCTGGCGTCTCCAGACATCTTGGCTAGAGGACACAGCTAGAATTTTAAAAATATAGCATTTTCATCAAATGGTTGCCATAGAGGGCATGGCTAGTCACCCAAAATGCAAACTGATGAACCTCTTCCTAGTTATTCCTATTAGGTCCCCAAGATACTCCCTATTTATCTGCTTACCATTGTCTTTTTTCCTAAGCATATGGACACACAGCTGCAACCACTCACCATTTCTATTTTCTAAGAATGCTTTTAACATTCACTTTTATTTCTTAGAAATAAAGATGATGCTAGTGTTTTCCCTGTTTTATTTTGTTTGAGACCTCCTAAAATAATAAATCTGTGTGAGAAAAACCCTGCAAGGAATACTGATATTGATGGTGGTGGAAGTAGCTGAGCAACCATGCTACTTTTACTGTGCTATGCTCTACAGATGCTGCACTCCATGACCATCTTAATTTCCAACCTCTCTCAAATTTGCTGAGTTTGAGAACCTCTAGTATGGGGTCTGGTAGTGTTTAAAAAGGTGCTGCTAGGCACCACACTGGAACCTAAAGCAGGGATGGGGCACCTATGGTACTCCTGATGATGCTGAATGACAACTCCCAGCAATCCCAGTTCAGCAACTTTAGGAAGTCTACAAGTTCCTCATCTTGCTTTAAAGAGACCACAAGGTATATCAGCAATTTCACCTCACCTTTCTGCAGTGTTACTTGTTGGAAAAAAGCTGTGGATCCATCTTCAAGTTCAATCACTTGTCCTTCAATTAACTTCTCTTCTGAAACAGGTGGAAAGAAAGTTCAAACATGTGTCAGTCTTCCAGGGTAGCAGGATTAAACATTTTCATCTACATATCCATTACAACTTCTTATTAAGAAACATGAAGTGGAATCTTGTTATAATTATTTATTTCTTCTGGAACATATTATCAGAAATTCAGGTTTAGGTATGGGGTCTATGGGGAACACTAAATTCAAAGGCAGCATTAGTAGAATTCTTGATTTCTGCATTTATCTCTATCAGTAAATATAATATTTCTTCCATATGATAAAGAAGTAAGTATAGAAGAACCTAATACCACTTAAAATATAGATTAAAAATGCTGACCTCTTGTGCCACAAACATTTGCAACCAATTATAAAAACTATAATAGTTTAAGTACAGGAATGAAATTACTTTTTTCCTTAGTAGATTAAAAAACATCTTAGAAATCTTCTTCTGAACCAGAGAGTACTTTCTAGCCTAAAATCAGAATACTTTTATTTTTCTTTCACTTCTACAGCAAATTTCTAACTATAACACTAAATTGCCAAAATGAAGTCAAAGTACTTTGCTTGTTGCGACTGTACCACATTGATGATTTAAAGGACTCTGTTAATCTACTAAAATACATGTATATTTTTTCTTATCTTTCATATCCATCAATAGCACAATTATCAAAACGTTAAGTAATGTTAAGCAAAACATAGCCCACAAGTCTATCCTGCAGAATTGTTTTCTTGTGAAAATTACTGAAAAGAACTATTCTATAGATTCTTCTCCTAGCACGATTATTGAATGGAACAGTACAATTGATGTGCATCGTCCTGATGCTTACAGAGCAGCAGGATATTTTATATAATAGAGGCACAAGTGTGCGTGCTTCAATCATACATACAGAGTTAGCCCAAGATATTTTGCTGATAGAGGTAAAGGTGCTAGCCATCCTTCCTATTACTGTACATAGAACATGCTAGCAGTTCAATTTTACTATAGCACTATAATAGCAAAAGCATCCTCAGCAGCTTAATTGTAGGCCCAGCGAATAACTAAAATAACTTCTAACATGAGCTCTCAACCATGAGTCCTGACCAAACAAAATTTCAATTGACATTATTCACAACTTACTTTTGAGGGAGGGAGGGAGGACAACCACTATATTTTTATATTGTTGAGAGAGCCAGTGTAGTATAGAGGCTAAGATATTGGACTAGTAGTGGGGATCCACTGAGTGGAAACTCACCAGGCAAGTCTGGGCCAGTTATACCCTCTCAGCCCAACTTACCATACAGGGTTCTTGTTGGGCAAATTAGGAGCAGGAAGTGCAATGAAACTGATATAGACAGACAGACAGATTAGATGCCAATGAGTATTCCTCTAGGTGTATAACCTGCATCACATACCTTTGCCTCATTATCCTTGTCCATTGACAAGGAATTTGGAGTCTATCAACTTCTGGAGGATTTAGGTGAACAGTGGAGGGCAGCATAAACTTGTTTCTGTACAGCTATCTAAAAGAATTGTCAGAAAATATATACACACACAGTAGATTGTGTGTAGATATGTGGATGTATGTGTGTGTGTATGTGGAGGGAGAGAGATGGAAAGGAAAAGAGCAAGGGCTTTGTCAGCTGACCTCTTCCTGAATAAAAGCATATATTAAATATTTTGTCATTAATGCAAAAATAAATCATTAATTTTGCCAGTGATCCAGAAAGCTTTAAAATAAATTAAAATACATAAAAACCTGGCTTGCTGAAAGACTTTGAACAGATAAAAACACCAAAGATGGCAGAAATCAGATCCATGCCATCTCAAAGGAACTGCCAGTTTATTACCTGTCTTTGACTGACATATATCTTATTTGAAATAATTTCCATTTGGGAACCACAAGACTGTTTTGTTTTTCCAAGATTCTAATCCTATCAAACAGTCTTAAATTCCACTCCATGTGTTTCGAATGATTTTTAAAATATAATACATATAAAGCAGAAATTGATTAATGAAATATTTAACCAAGTTACATTGCCTTCTGCCCTTGTGTACGATGCTTTGACCATAAGGTTTCTGATATGCCCCAGTCTCACTGACCACAGCTGCCGCAGCCTTCAGCTGACTCACCACTTGCATCTTGCTGAACATAGGCTGTTGTCCCATCAGAAAGGGTCATTGCCTGTAGACTCAAGCTCTCCATTTTGTTCTGATGGCAGCTCCTTAGACATGTATTCAACACTGAAAGCTGTTCCCACTGATACAGCTATAATAAAAATTGAAAGTTATATATATATATGTATTTGTGTACACATTTCTTTTTCCCACTTCATATTAAGCATAAATATAAATCTGGGAAAAAGTCATTACAAAGGATTAACAAGAAAGTAAGCAGCAATACAATTTGGCTAGGGGACAAACAAAGAATTGTTTTTTTTCCCTACATTTATGTTCCCCAGAAGCACCTGGCAGTCAATGTTAAACACTGGACAAGTACCCTTTTATTCCACAGAGCTGTTCTTACTATTATAATGTATATAACTTTTAGTGGTAAGCAGAGATTTAAAAAACAAAATCAAATAAATGTACACCTAACCGGAACCAGTATCTTTTCTCTATTAGGCAGATTTCCCCTGAGACACAACTTGATATTTGAACAAAACCAAGATAAGAAAAGTAAAGGTACCTCACCTTATTTGGCTATCCAGTGGTTTCATGCTTCTGCACCAAGTGGAGAACTTTCACAGATCACCAAGCTGAAAATTAAGCAACCCAAGCATACACGTAGCTTGTCCTAAACCTATCCTTTACTTCTTTTTAAACCTGGGGAGAGAAAAATTCAGGGTCTGAATATTTTCCTAGAAAGTGTCTTTGGGATAGAATGGTAAAATTGGAAAACACCAATTAGGCCATCAAATCTAAATTAAAACATCCCCAATGAATGGCTGTCTGGCCTCTATTGAACATATCCAGCAAAGATTTTATAATTTCCATTTGTAGTTGGTTCCACTGTCAAACTACATTGGGAATTCATCTGGAATCTTATTTCTTGTTATTTAAGACCTTTATTTTGTTTTCTGGAACAGGCAGGTTTTTTTCTATCTGAGGTCCCTCCAGGAGTTTGAAAAGTGCTTTCATATTTCCCCTTAATTTTATTTTCTCCAAACTAAACATATCCAATTCTTCAGACATTCCTCTTCACAGGCTATTCCTGTGATGTAAGAGAGATTTCTTTTCTGTAGTGTAACTAAAAGCTAGACACAGGTCCAAAGCAAAGTTTAGTTGAAAATTCACACGTTCAGAGCTGTAGATTAGCCAACCATAATTGGCTCCAGCTAGCATAGATTTGTTGTATGGATGCAAAGAAGCTGGGGGACCTTTATTTTTACTATACTACAAAGTCCAATTTTCACTCTTTAAAAACAATGGAAAAGATATACATAAGGCATAACTGGACTTATTTTATAACTGCACTTTTGTTTTTAGAAAAAACATACATGAATGAAAAAATAATCTAAAACAGACAATAGTTCATTTGTGTCACTATAAAAGCACATTGATACTGTGGTGGAATTTACTTTAGGAAACTTAAGAAATTATAAAAAGACAATCGGGATTATCAAATGTTCTAGAACCCCATTGATTTATGTGGCTTGTAGATGAGTTATAGTGAATTAGTACAAATTATACTGTTTGCAGGCAGCATAACATTATTCTTCTGTTTACACGTTTTTACTGCTAAGAAGTGATTAAAACAAATTCCTACATAAGCATCTTGAAGCTTTTCCTCCAGTATCTGTTGCTACCTAGAGTGCTATTTTATTTTCTGGACCATTCCTTATAAAGGTATTCTAGTGCTGGCTCTGTTGTTTGTATGATATCACAGTATGATAAGGCCAAACAGAATATATATGGGGCCTTTACTAGAAATAGAGAGAAGGTAATCTTTGACTGACTTGTATATCTGCAAAAGTGTCTCACTCCCAATTATTTCAAAATAATACAAAGATTATTCCTGCCAGCCCTATATATTGCTGAACATTTCTTAACCTTAGAGTAACTAGGAATGAATTTGTGTGTAAAAAGACTATAAAAACTATTCACTACCAATGTATTACTCCCTCTCTCCATTACTTAATTCTAAATGTAAGCTTTTGCAGCTGGCTAGAGTTGGTGAATCTCAAGTTCTAATAAAGATAAAACAGGTTTCAGAAGTTTACTTGCTCCCTCAGCAATGTTGACAACTTGTTATGAGAACTGGCTAAAAATTATTCCTTTTGTTAAAATAAAGCACTTCCTTGTGAAGACATATGAGATGGATGTTGATTTGAAGCCCAATTAGATATAATAAAATGAGCATCAGACAGATAGAAACTACCTTAACAGAAGTATCTAGGAATTCTTTGCAGATAATACAGCAAAGGCTACAAATAAGTGTTTATTAGATACTGAGTAGTTTGTTATTTGAGAATACCAGCAGGAGCTATAGTTTCAAAAATGTTTGTGGCTGCCTTCCATTATATTTAATAACACAATGGGCTGTATACATATTTAGTTAACAAAAATGGTAGGTAATTACTGCCACTTCCAGGCTTCAAAAATAGAAGTGGTATGGTATTATTTTCTTCAAATATAAATGCACTTTTTATGCAAAAGATCCTAGAATGGGACAGGCTGGGGATGGGAAAAGTTTTAAAGGTCAGAATATTTGGACCTGTCTTTTCTATTTTAACTTCTGACAGCTGCCCAAGGTTTCAGCAAGGTCTTTTCCAGCTCTGCCAATTGAAAGCCAGCAATGACAATGGAGATGCCAAAAAGTGAATCCTCTGTGCAAGAGTCAATAAAGAATTAGATACCATAACACAGAAGAAAAATAATTTAATTAGGACAACAAGACAAAGAATAAATCTACAAGAACAGGTGTTGTGTAAGTAAAGGAAGAGTAATGAATGTTTACAATACCTAAATCTATCATCTGAAGAGTTATTGGGATAAATATGTCAAATATTTCATAAAATTAGAGAACTAAAGTTCCAGACTTGTACAGAAGAATATACTCACAGATGAATTCTATACATACAATTAAGACTGAAATGAAAGGAAATGGATATTCTGTAAGAGGGCTGAGGGTTCAAATATCTTTGGATGAGGTATTAGGAGCAGTGAGCATCAAGTGATAGTCTGGCAAATAAGCTGTGCCATTTTAAGAAGAAACCTGCATTAAATGTTGGGCTTTCACATTCCGGGATTGTCCTAATATTTTGGAAAGCAAGATTTCTTTTAAAAAAGGGAAAAGAATATCATGGAAATTTTTAGCAATTACATTATACTTAGTCCAATAATCATCTAGCTCATTATTGCCTATGCTGGGTGGTAGAGTCTCAACCAGGATTTCAGAAAATGGTTTTAGCTCCACCCAAAGTTGTTGGGATTCTGCTCAAAAAGTATGTGATCTATCACTGAGATACAGTGGTACCTCGGGTCACGAACGCTTCTGTTCAAGACCAATTCGGGTCACGAACAGCTCCGTTCGCAAAATTTTGCTTCTGTTTGCGAACGCCGGATCGGGTGACGAACAGGATCCGCGGCCATTTTCCCTCCCATGACACATGGTCGTGGCTTCCTGTGGGGAGGGAGACTCTCCCTCCAAGCAATAACCGCCTCCCCACCCGCCTTCCTGTCCTCCATGCCAGAAGTCGCGTCA